GAGGGAAGGAGGGAGAGAAGGAAGGAGGGAAGGAGGGAGAGAAGGAAAGAAGGAAGGAGGGAGAGAAGGAAGGAGGGAAGGAAGGAGGGAAGGAATGAAGAAAGGAAGGGAGGGAGGAACGGAGGAAGGAAGGGATAGAGGGAGGGAGGGAAATTATGGAAAATCAGATATAGGACTTGCTTTAGCCCTCACCAGTGGATATCTATGGAGAGTATTAATCTGACTTTCCAGCAGTGCATTCCTCCAGCCCAGCCACCTCCTGACTCTGTGTGGATTGGCAGTTGGACTACAGGATCATTGTAGGTCACTTTCAAATGAAATATTCTATTCTATTCTATTCTATTCTATTCTATTCTATTCTATTCTATTCTATTCTATTAATTCTACTCTATTTATTCTGTAAGGTTTTCTCACAGCTCTCGTATATGGGACAGGTTGTGGCTGGGGAACTGCTGCTCTTCTCCTCCTTGGGGATCATTCCTAGAACCTCTTAGTTCCTGACTCTGCAGGTCGAATACATCTTCTGGGAGCTCCTGGAGCACGTCCTGTTTCAGGAGGCTGGAGATGACGCTCACGCTCCTCCTCAGGGAGCGTGTGTTTGAGCAGAGTGTACTGAGGATGCAGTGTCTCCTGCAGCTGCGTGGTCCCTCTCAAGGAGCAGCATCCTGACAGCACTGACCTAACGCAGAACGGACAGAGGCCTCCCAGCTCCTAGCCCACGACTTAGTCCCGCAGGAAATGAATCAGCTAAGCCTCATCACCCAACGCTTCATCATTTTTAAAAACTCCAGGTGCCAACAAAACCCTGCCAGACTGTTGACCACCGTGACATTATCGTGGTTTGACCATCGTGTCTTCTCATTCTCCTTCTGTTCTCTCTTTCAGTTGTAAAGCTCCTCCTTTTCTCTGTGCAGCTCCAGGCTCTGGGGAGGGGGGTCCTGGTGTTTGCCTCTGGCTTCCAAGAATGACAGTAGCAGTGAGAATAGCTTAGCAACAGCAAGGAAGAAGTGCATCAGAATAATTCCTGGCTGCTTTGGCCAAAAGGTGATGATCATCTGGGGAGATGCTCTGGAACTGTTGTGATGGGTATGGTATCAATGCACAGAGTGTGGCTCTGCACTGACCTCTCTGTAACCCTAATGGCCTGGGGGGAAGGAGGCTCCCACCCAGAGCTGCTTGGAAAATAACAGTTCGTTAAGCCAAATAATTTTGAGGAAAAACTCCTAGTTTTGATTAGTTTTTCACTGTGAAAGCTTTTTCATGGCTCCCAGATGGAATTTCTGGATATTGTAATAAGTAATAAATAATAAACCAGGATAAAGTGGATAATAATCCACTTTAAAAGAGATGGAAGCTCGAGAATTACAGCATTTGCAGGGATGTTGGAGGCAGCTGGTGTCCCAGCAATGCTCAGGGAGATAGTGGCTATTCTTGGAGGCATCTTTCTGTCTCTTGTCTTCTCACTCTGGCTCCATTCCCACTGTGATTTCCTACAGGTCTCAGCTCAGTCCAAAAGCAGAAGAGGAATGTTTTTGAAATCATGAACATTTTTATAGGAAATACAAAAATGTCTCACTCATTTGTAGTCACAAGCTCTTTGCAGGTGGGTGCTGGGTGAATTGAGTCTTCTTCGGCACCAGATGTGGTGAGTCAGAGCAGAGTCATGAGATGTGGAGGTAGAAGGGACATGAGAGGAGTTAAGCTTTTTCCTTAGTAGCACAAAGCTAAAATTAGTGCGATATGTAAATTAAGATTCCAAAATATTTAAATATCTGGAGACTCCTGGTGCTCTCGAGGAAGGGTTAGGCAGGTTTTGCAGCAGCAGCATCATTTAATTTGAGAGGTTTACATGTCCATGCATCCATCAAGGAGGCACTTTCCATGCTGTTTCCATATGAGCAGAGCACCTCAGACCTAGGCTATGGTCAGTGTCTTCTGCAGGAGCTCAGTCTCTGAGAGAAACAGGCTGTCCCAGTCCTGCTCAAGGAGACTGAAACCGGGAGACCTTCGTAAAATATTTTGTCTTTAATGCTTCTATTTCCCTGTCTTTAAAATTAGCATGCTGACACCTCCTTTCCTTGAAGAAACGGCTGCACCATTAAAGAGCTGAGCATTAAAGGAAAAGGGGAAACCCTTCAGCATCACACCACCTCTCAAAAGACCTGCAGAGGCAGAGCAATTCTGGTGTGAGCCGTTCTGGAGATCACAAGGAAAATTAGCAGCAGCCTTTTGCATGAACAGTGCTGCCAACATTACATCCCTCATCCTCCCACGGGTGACCTGCTGTGCAAAGAGCAGCAGAGAGCATATTTTGTTGCCCAGGACTGGGTACCACCACCCCCAGGAGAGGCTGCAGGAGGGATGTGCACAGTATTCCTTCCTATGGCTAAGATTGCATCACATCGCATTCTAGGAAAGCACAAGTGGAACACCTGACCACTCCTGATGGGGAAAACATGTGGCTCTTGGGTTTATGAGGTGCTTATTACTGAAAGCAATGGAACGGCAACCAGAGTCAAAGACACACAATCTAGAGATTGGTGTCATGGCTTTAGGTCAGACATTCAGTGTCAGGGAGTGATTATCGCTATCCTGAAAACTTTTAATTCAGCATTTTGAAACCTGAGATTGTTTTACCCACCCTCCATTCTTCCTGCCTGCTTCTTCTCCATTCTCATTCTATTTCTCCAAAGGCAGAAGTAGTAGGATTTACAGGATAGGAGGAGGAGGGGAGAGAAAGGAAGGGATCATTCTCTTTTTTTTTTTTTTTGGTTATAAAACAGCTTTTATTTTCTATTATAAAACATAGCTCGGGCAGTACAATTCGATGGAATTAGTGCTAGTTTCCTCTCTTGACTCCTTCTGTCTACTTCATCTCTGAGGTGATAGGGGAGGAGAGGTAGAGAACAAACCAAGGGAAGGGAGGGCTTCTCGGATGGCAGCAACCTCAGAGTGCACTGAGCTGGGACGAAGGCCTGGGAAGGACCCCCACATCAGACGGCTGTGCAGAGCTGACTGCACCCCCCAAGGGGTCTGTGTTCCTGCAGAGGCAGCTCTGCAGTGAAATATCATCCCGGGTTAATCCCTGCCTGCTCAGCCCAGGACCTCCTGGTTTGTCCTCATCCCATCACACCACAATTATTTTATACTTAGTGCTTGCTGCAGACAGGGGAGATATTATTTATGTGGCACAGTTTCTGCTCTGGATGCTTTTGTTCCGAGAGCACCAAACTGGGGTGAAAACAGGCCGTGGTGCCTTTGTTTCGCAGCCGTTCTTTACCCCACAAAGTCTCGTCTACCCTCCTCAGTCTTTCAAACACAGCTCCTCCGTGA